AAAGAAACTGACTCTGCTACAAGGAATTAGAAGAACTTCAGGGCATTTATGTACCATTATTTATAAAGTATTAAAATAAGCAACTGAATAAATATTGCCTTATTAATCAAACAACTCCTAAAGAATATTTTATTTTACTCAACTGGGTTCTCCAGATGCAGGCTCAGATCATCAATCCACTCACTTTCTACTAACCTAAATTAAATTGTGTCCCATCCCCTTTGTAATTCATTTGGACAATGAAGCTGTATAACCCACAATTATCCTAAACAAAATACAAATTCTATACTCTTTTAAAAAAAAATAAAGAAACACTGGTCACTTAAATGTTTTTTTTGGGGGGGGGTGCATTTACATTATAAAACTGCAGGGACAGAACTATTTTGAAATGTGAACTTCTTAGAATGTCCACCTTTTCCTCACCCTCCTTTCTATTCATCATCATGACTCTTCAACATACACCTTTCATACAAGTTCTCAAATATTTTACCACTATCACAATCAACCTCCATTCACAGTTTCCTGGTCTGTTGCAATAGTGTGTGAACTGGTTTTTCTGCTTTCTAACATGACTCCCTATAAGCCATTCTCCACAATGCAATGAAAGGGGACTTTTTAACAAATGTAAACAAGATCATGTTTACATCTCCAGCTTAAAATCTTCCCACGGTTTCCCATTAAACCTGGATAAAATGAGAACTACCATGCCCTTTCTGAACCCCACTGAACAGTTACTCCCACCCCCCACTCCCCACCCCTAGGTGACTTGCTTGCTCTTTGGCTCAAAGTATCTCCTGACAACCAGACCTACCTTAACTACCATCTCTTCACTAAAGGAACCCCAGAAGCACTCTCTAGTATATCAAACTTATTTCTTTACTTAAAAGCATTTCTCACTACTTTATATTTTCTCAACGAACCACAATGATGCTGTGGGGTAAACATGGGCTGATAATTTAAATTCATCAGTGGATTTGTGTAAGAAAAATAAGACTTGCTCCAGTAAAGATTTACAATCTTGAAAATCCTAAGGAGCAGTCCTTACTCCATCTTATCTCTAGTAGCTATGAATAGGTGAAGTGGGTATATTTCCTTATTTATTTGTGTTCTCCCAGCTAAAGTTTAAGCTCCAAAAAATCAATTATTTTTCTTATTCCCATCTGAATTTCCTATAAGGCAGATGATTAGCATTCAATAAATACTGTTAAATAAATTAATGAAGAAAGGTATTTTAGTTAGACCTAATATACTACATAGTTAGACTTAATATATTTAGTTACTTAATATACTAAATTAGTATATAAACATACTTAATATACTCAAAAAGGAATAAAATAAGAGATGTTTCTAGGAAATGTCTCCAAACATTATAATTTTGATGAAAACATTTTATTTTCTATCATATAGCAGTTTTTGAAATATAAATTTTTTTAGAATATGCTTTTTTAATGTTCTTTCCATTGAATTCTGTTTTGTTTCATAAGATAACTTAATGCACTGACTAAAAAGTAACAGAAACAGGCCAAGAAAAATCTAAATAAATTTGTTTACTAAGCACTAGTTTCTTCTATATGTCTTTTTCAAGGCCCATACCGTTTTGAAAACTAAAACATTAACTTTCAAAAGTTCTAAGGAAAAGCAAGGGTTATTTGTTTTAATGTACATATATACACACACACACACACACACACACACACACACACACACACACATTGGTAGTGTAAGAGCATTAAAAACCCTGAATAAACTACCTTTTCCCTTACAAATCTGGCTGGACCAGAGGATGTACATTGGTACAGAAAGGAACTAGAAACACAGGGACAGATAACCCCTTCAGGACCAGT